AAAATGATATATGCAACAGAGTATTGAGAATTCAAAGCCTCAACCGGTTTTTTTTTTAAAACAAATATTGTTCTTTATAGAAGATTATTCCAGTTAAAACATGCAAAAACTATGCTTTGCATGATTAAGACTGCCTGATAAGGAGATTATGCAAAATAAGACTGTAATTATCACAGAAATGTCCATAGAAAACCTGCTATTGGCACAGTTTTTTCAGTTATCTGCCAGTTATACATAATCACGCCTCTAAAATGGTATTACATTTATAACAAATCTTGTTATAATGTAATTGTGTTGATGTGACCGTTCACACCAGCCATTTAATAATGTTTACATGAAATCAAGACGGTGGAAATTAATTTATCATCCAATTTGCGTAAAATACATCAACCCTTGAAATTTGTAAACCAATTCTGATCATGAATGACAGATGGGGTTATATGGGTTACCTTATGGCCTTAATTTAAATATTTGTTCAGGATTTAAGTGCCAGCATTCTGTGTAGCTTTACAATGAGTCTCACAAAAGAGCATTTCATTATTAAAGCCGTAAATTCTTATTTGAAATGGATACAGTGTAGTATTTCTTACTGTTGTGGCTTTGTGACATTAACTACTGTAAAACCGGTCGTTTGGGAACAATGTTGGTCACTCATGCAAGCGGTCTTTCTCGTCCACAGCTGGTTCTGGTAGGAGATGGAGGTACAGGGAAAACCACCTTTGTGAAGAGACACTTGACTGGGGAGTTTGAGAAGAAATATGTTGGTAAGTTTTGCATCTCGACGCAGCTCATCTGGAGGAGTGTGTGGCTTTGGTGAGACGGTCACAGCAATGGGCGGCTTTTAAATTTCTCTGTCCTCTTAGCCACGCTTGGAGTTGAGGTACATCCCCTGGTCTTCCACACTAACAGAGGAGCCATCAAATATAATGTATGGGACACAGCCGGACAAGAGAAGTTCGGAGGCCTGAGAGATGGATATTATATCCAGGGTATGCAGCTTTTATCATATATACACTATACACCTTTACTGTCCAGAAGGGGTTTAACATGTGCATCTGTCTCATTACAGCTCAGTGTGCAATCATCATGTTTGATGTAACTTCTCGAGTGACCTATAAAAATGTGCCCAACTGGCATCGTGACTTGGTGCGTGTCTGCGAGAACATTCCCATAGTGCTGTGCGGTAACAAAGTGGACATCAAGGACAGGAAGGTCAAAGCAAAGAGCATTGTGTTCCATCGTAAGAAGAATCTACAGGTACGGAGCACCTCCTCAACTCACTGATGAAATACACCGTCTGTTTTCGAAAAGCTTGTTATAGATCTTATTGTGAATAATTCACGCATGCTTGTTTAATTTTCAAAAATGCTTTGAGCTCGTAATATTTAATCGTCATAACTGGATCTTCTGGTAAATCGTCAGACTTTGTTTATCTGCCTCCACTTTGATTAAATCAGCAACCAATTCATAACTCAGTCCTGCCCTATTTTTAATAATCCATTAAACAGAATTAGCTTTTTTGGCAGGCGTTTTTACACATACGAGGAATTTGTTTTAGTGACAGAAGCTCCACAGTGCAACAGAATGACACGAATAATATACAAAATAGCAAAAACATGAATGCATTGTACAATATGGAAATAAACTATCACTACTTCCAATTCAATGCAACTTCAAGTTATCAGCTTGTAGACAATAAGTGCATTAGTAGAGACTGAATGTCAGGCTGATATTGATTGTAAATGTAAGGCTAAATCGACGCATCCTTCTCTCTCTTCCTCAGTACTATGACATCTCTGCCAAGAGTAATTATAACTTTGAGAAGCCCTTCCTGTGGCTCGCACGGAAGCTGATCGGCGACCCTAATCTGGAGTTTGTTGAGATGCCTGCCCTTGCACCACCTGAAATTGCTATGGATCCATCACTTGCTGCACAGTATGAGCACGACTTGAAAGTAAGTGCATCATGGAGAATATACCTGCTGCTGCTCCCAAATGTGTTCCCGTTTCATCCGTGCTGATCTGTAATTGTCGTTTCTCTTCTAGGTGGCATCAGAAACAGCTCTCCCAGATGAAGATGACGACCTTTAACCTGTTAGCCTCTGACCTCCTTATGGCAATGTCACTGGGATTTCCTGGTGACTGTTCCTCCCCCTGCCCCTTTTACTGTAAACCCCCAGCGCAGAATATTTTTATTTTTCAATTTTTGGTTTGTTTTGTGTTTTGAATTTGAGTCAATCGTGTGGTTCATTTCTTTGTAGACATGCTAACTGTTGCCACCAGACACGCACATGCAGACATGCCTACACTGACACACTATCTCACTCAAAGGTGTGAGAGCAGGTCGAGTGTCCCAGTGCTTACTTCTCTATGTAAGGCTCTAAGCACTTGGAATAAAAACATTCTCAATATAATAATCCTTGCTTGGTCTTTTTTTGAGCAAAATAACTGTCGGGAGTGAACATTTTAAGTTGTGGTGGGCTGCTTGTGAAACAGGACTGATAATTTCCCTTTTTCCATTCAGTTGTTTACATGTAAAGCATTTTTCTGGAAGTTTCTTTTGCATTTGCTCAGACAAAGAAGCATAGTATTGCTCGGGTCTAAAATGTGAAGTTGCTAGTCATTGAGTGTGATATTTAAATACTGTGGGTATTTTTTTGTGCAAATTGCTATCGAGTCACAACAATCCATGGTGTCCATGAGAATAGAACAGCATGTACCTAGTTTAAGGTATGATGTGGTATTATATAAATATGGGTGAGGTGTCTTGCATGAACTGACGCGGTGTTCAGTGCAAGGCAAAATCTCATTGTGTTCATACTGAGGAGTCTAACCTTTTTACTTTATGTTCGAGGAGTTCCTAGTATGTAAATGAATGCTATGCCAGTAAACATGAAATGAGCACTAAGTGTAGGAAAGTTGGTAAAAGTCACTTTTTAAAAATGATATACGATTTTATAAAAAGGTTCTTAACATTGTGAAAATGTAATAAATCTTAAATGAAGCATCACTGTTAATTAGACAAGAAAACAGGCAACAGCACGTAATGGGGGGGGAAATTATTACAAATATTTCTGTAACAATACATTGTTTAAATTTTTTGCATGGCCTTTAGTAATGTTAAAATAATATCAGATATGGACTTGTAATGTTGGGGGTTAGTATATGAGTGTGTTTGTTCTGGTTATTTTGTATTTGGCACATGCAAATATTGTCACATTCTATACTTGCATAATAATAACGTTAAAATTATGAAGTTGAATTGAAGTGGTTGCATACAGTTAAGTCCTCGGAGATGCCACAGGCAGAAATCCACTTAGACATGTTTAAAAATATTTTAATTATCGTGTAATTTGTGTATCCCAAGATGAACATTTTGAGCCTAGACTTCAGTATCAGTTATAAAAACTTATAAGCAATTTTATATTTATGCATTATATTTACGTTAATGATTTTTATTTAAAAATAGTATAATATCAAAAGCTGCCTCAATCTCTATTGGCTGACTTTACAAAATGTGACCATAGTTTCATAGACCATATGTCCCTTCGTACTGCGCCATAATACAATGGTACCAGCGGAGGGCAGAAGATGGTCATTTCTGTCGCTCGTGTGAGAGCTACGGGTTCACAAACTCCAGAAGGAAGGGTTTAGTGATGATGAAGGCTGTGACTGCGCTTGCTCATCCGCTCAGTGTTGCAGAGCAGAGAGGTTAATGAATGCCAGCTCTCGCGCTTCATGTGTGCTGAAGTGGCCTATACTCATTGATCGTTAACTCCGTCCTCTGTAAGTGTGTGAGAGAAAAACATTATATCGTGTTTTTTTTAAAGACAGGAATAATTAGTAGAAACTAAAGAATAAGTGTTAGTATAATGAATACCTACTATAAATATGAATTAGTAATAGTTTCTGTTATTTAAATAATTTATTAGCAATTACGGGCAAATTGGGTATATACAAATATATATTTATTTTATTATTTATTTATTTTACATTTACAGTAAATGGTCAATGAAAAGTACTGTCAACTTTCTGGAAATGCAATATTCAATGAAACTTCAAAATGAGTCAGACAAAGACATTTATTAAAACAGAATTGGCAACGATGCACAAAATATGTGAGAAAATTATGTTATGTAGGCTAATTAAAATTAGTTCATTATCACAAATAGTTTCATTAAAATTAAGTTTAAATATTTATTTTAATATATACATTTAATAATTATGTTTATATTTATATTTATATTATATTTTTTATAACAGTTAGATATCGCCAAGAAAGTGTCATTTAAACTGAAAAAAAATTCATAATTTTTTTCAAATTCAATTTTATTGATTATTATTATTATTTTTTTTTTAAATATCTTTAATTTCCCTATTGTGGGGGAATTGCAGATATTTGATATATTTATAGCCTAATCACTTCCTTTTCGTGCTAGGTTGATTTTATATTATTTTATAATAAATATATTCATACATATTTTTTAGTATGTAATGTATTGCTATCAGCAAATAGCACATTTACTTGAAAATAAAAAAAATGGCACATTGAAACTATTGGGAATAAATGTGGATTGAGTGCACACAGGTGTTCGGGCAGAGAGAGAGAGAGAGAGAGAGAGGGAGACAGGGAGAGCATCGGAGAGCAACTCACAGCTTGTGACAAACATGATTGGTAAATAGGAATAAAATCAAACAAACCCTTAAAGAGGCTGCACTAAATGCTGTACTGAGAGAAGCAATGATGTCACTGACTGAACTGACTGCCAACGGAAGAGAGAGAGAGCGAGAGAGTGAGTCAGAGTGAAGGAGGGGAAATTGAGAGAGAGGGAAGGAGAGAGAGAGAGAGAGAGAGAGGGAGGGAGAGAGAGAGAGAGGGAAGGAGAGAGAGAGAGAGAGAGGGAAGGAGAGGGAGATATATAATATATATAATATATATAGGGATATGTTACTGTATTATATTACTTAGATGTACATTTTGCTTCTGTAAATATGCCGATTATAACGAGAAAAGAGAGGGATAGGGAGGAGGACAGATTAAGCAGACTGAACACAACTGTTGTTTTAATCCTCTGAGTGGATAGATTTAGAGGAAAACACTCCTGGTTTGGAGAAGAGCAGCCATATTGCATGGAGCTGGTGCCATAACAATACGAGGACTTCAGGAGCGGACGCTACTTTTGACTCTCTCCTATTTATTATTTATTTATTTTATTTTTAGACAGTGTTAACCAATAGATATAAAGATGAAGGACCGACTGGAGCAGCTAAAGGCGGTAAGTGTCTGCTTCTATTTCTTGTCCAGTGAACGCGACGGAGGCGAGCTCTTATTCACACAAGTGTATGGGAATGACATTATATACGCAGTGGAGTTCAGCTCAGACCTCCTCTTCAGATTCAGTGCTGTTAGACTGTGATTATAGTATGAAGAAGGAACATTTAGTCACTTTTTGTGGCTGTTGATCCAAAGAGAAATTATCTCAAAGTTAAAAAGCGTCTAAAATGGAGTCTGTGTGGATGAGTGTCCAACAAGTGCTCACTGAAGGCAGCATAAGTCATATTAGAAGTGGTGTAAGGAGTGAATAGAGGAGAGTGGACAGTGCTGGACAGCTGATGTGGTCACTTGACTCATGGAGGGGGTCACGGGCCTCTGGAGAGATGGGGGATGGGGACGATCTTAAAATGCTTATTGAAAAATAAACCAATAACAATAGACAGAGTTTGCCATCCATTCCGTTGCCACACTAACCAAAAACAAAATGTACAAAATAAATAAATAAAATTAAATAAAATGAATAAATAAACTAACCATAGTTTTGTTTTTCTGCTTTTTGGGCATTTACCATGATGTTCGGACATGCTTTTTGTTGTTGTTGTTGTTGTTGCACAAATTCCATGTGTTAATGTATATGCCCCATAGTACTAACATTTTATTTATATGTACCATGATTTTCAGACACATAATCCTGTACAACCATGTTTTATGTAGAGTATAATGTACCATGGTACTACTATGGTACTATGTTCTTTGTTTTTAGATATATGCCTAATGCTACCATGTTTTTGTATACCATGCTACTAGGCAAAACTACCATGGTTATTGGCCATGTATCATCATGGTATTGGCAAGTTTTTTTTTTTTTTTGACTTATAACCCAATAGCCTACTATCACATTTGGGGCATGTATCATTGTGCTGCATATTTTTTTGATATGTAACATGTTTTCAAGCATAAAACCCAATACTAGCACATTTGTGGGCATGTATCATGGTAATACCATGTTTTTATGATTATGTACTATGTTTTTCAGACATATTACACTATACTACCATTTTTTTTTATTATGTACCATGTTTTTCTGAATTATAACCCAATACAACCACATTTTGGGGCGTGGATCACGGTACTGCTATGTTTTTTTATATGTACCATGTTTTCAGGCATAAAACCCAAAACTAGCACATTTGTGGGCATGCCATGTATCATGGTACCACCATGTTTTTTATTATGTACCATGTTTTTTAGATTATAACCCAATGCTATATGTATCATTATGGTACTACCATGGTTTTTGATATATACAGTGTTTTTAGACATGTAACTCAATACTACCTTGGCATTTGGGCATGCTTTTAACTTGCACACTGAATCCTGTCTTGGTGTGTCATATTTTCAGACATGTACCATGTTACTACCATGCTTTTTCTGGACATATACCTTTTTTTAGACGATCCATGAAACAACAAAGCTTTTTGGGCATGTATTATGGCAGTATGATGGTATTTTTTTCAGGCAAATTGAAGTGTGCACTAAATTTTGTGATACATGAATATGGTATATCTAAGTGGTATGGTATTACCGCCTGATGACATTACTGTAGAGTGTATGATATGATACTAGAGTACTGTTGGCAGGGATTGGTAGGGCTGAGTTTATTCGGATGTTTTGGAGAGGGTGTCAGATCTTATGGGCAGGGTCAGAGTTGAGGATTTGTTTCTTTGGCGACTCTGCCTCAGTCAAATATTTATTTTGTTGACTTTGTTACCTGAAGCTGCCGAGCAGGCAAGAGGAACTTGTGCATGTGTGTTTATGGCGAACCTTATTTACATTAGTCATAGTTGTGTTTCCGTGCTGTTTTGCATACAGAAAATCTCACACCGTTTAAAAAAAAAATATATATATATATTTTGTATGGTCCTTTTAGTGGTTTAATCTTTAAAAGTTACTTTGTTAAGGTACGAAAATATCAGAATTTTTTTTACCAGTTTTATTGTCCACCAGGGCAAAACCTTAAGTCCAGTCACTTTAATAGCACAAGTTGCATGATTTGATCATTCAGCAGGCCTGGAAGAGTTACTCCATGAAGCTTAATACTAATTACACAGTAAAGTGCTTTTTGTAGGTTTAGGTGTTTGTTCAAATCTTTAACCTTAACTATGAGTAATAGTATTAGCGATACTTGTCTTCGCAAACAGCACTAAAATCAGTTGCTTGGGGGCATGTCTGCGTGTGACCCTCTGTGCTGTAGGAAATCCTGCTGAGAGTAAAAGATCTTCCGTTCTAACCTCCCAATACCTGGGTTTTTCTGTCTGTGTCTGCCTGTAATGTTTAACTTGGTGTGGCCGCACTGTTCTCCTCTTCTTTGTGTGTGTATATAAGAGTGTTATAGGCTCAGTACACACACACACACACACTGGTGCTCTTCTTGGAGCACTAAAGGAACTGTGGGACATTAAACAGCTGAACACCGTGTGAGAGTGAATTTGTTTTTGTGTCCTTCCGGGATCTCCAATAGCCCTTCTTCTGTAAGGTTAGCAGGATGATGAGTGAAAAACACACTGTATCGCACATTTATAGACTTTACTCTTAAGGCACACTGTTAACTTGAACTCACTATACTTTAATCTAGTAAGACACTTTCTCTCTCTCTCTCTCTCTCTCTCTCTCTCTCTCATTTTCTCTCAGCAGGAAGTCTCTTGTAGACTTATCTCTTTACCTCAGTTCACAGCTTTTCCAGCTCTGCATTCGTGTGAGTGTGTGTGTGTGTGTGTGTGTGTGTGTAAGTGAGTGTCTTTGACCTTCACAAAAACCCGTTGGTTTGGCAACACATTGTTGATACTACAAATAAACTTGAAAAGAGAGCTGATGTCTTTGTCAGCAGGATGGGTAAAATTACATTTTGTCACAGGAACATTTCAGCTGAAAATCTTTAGTACAATCTCAGTAAGTGCTTGTTTTCATAATATTTCATTATGTTAGACCTTAGTTGATGGTCTTTTACAAAAATGTACTTTAAGTAACCAGTTGCCACCAAATTAGCCCTACACCTGACATGCATGGAAAAAATACATAAAAATTATTTATTTAATTATATCAAAACAAGGGAATGAATTAGGCTATTGATTTGTGGCCATAATTTAACTAAAACGTGGGAACTAATTCATAAAACAAGGGAACTAATTCTTAATTTGTGGCTGTGTTTTAACTAAAACAATGGAACTAATTCATAAAACGAGGGAAACAAATTCATAATTGGTGGCCACAATAAATATACATTTGTCCTAGGGGCTCTGTAGGTATAGAAAAAATATTGTTTGGGTCAGGGATTCATACGTCACCCTGCAACATTCATGTTATCAGCATGAATAATACAGTTAATTTAATGTTATTGCCAATAGTAAAGGGCTCATGAAATGCATTTGAAAAATTATTTCATAATGTTTCCTGAGGTGTGTTTATAATCAAAAACAGTCACATTTAGATATTAATGGTAATTTTCTACCCTGATTTCATTGCATGTTTGCTGTGAGACGCCAATCTAAACGGCCGCTGCTATGATTGGCTAACATCTTTGCATATGAAATGAACATTACATGTGGAGCTCTCTAGAAAACATTTACTGTGTTGTCCTGCAACAGCCGCAAAGTTTAACTGATTGTGAGAAGTGTTGATTACAGCATTATATTTAGAATGACTCCTGTTGCATCAATGTAGCCGAACACAGTCTACTGACACACAAATATCACAATGATCTCCTTATTGCAACACAATTTCTGCAGTCTCATGCATACGTTCATCATAACTAACACAGTGAGAACTCGATGTAAATAACAGACTGGTTGAGCAGTGTAAACTGTGTCATTGATCTTTGTCTTTGTGAAAATGCAGAAATCAGATGATCTTGAATTGTAACTATAATCATTTACAGTTACTGAGAGAAAAATGTGTAATTAAATTAGTCACTTATGAAAATTAACGATTACAAAGGGGAAACATCTGAATTTTTTCACACACACTCATACAGATTTAATTGACTTCCTTCATAAATTGCAGTGACTGCTCTAAAATATGAGACACCAATATTTCAGGAGTTTAGTACACAGAATAGGACATGTTTATTCAATGACATGTTTTATTTCCTATTTGGGTTTATGTATATGCTTTATTTTTTAAGATTAACTATTTCGTCCAAGCCGGCGCGTTTCCATTACAGATTTGCGCAAAACTTTGGTGATATTTTTATAAATGTCGATAAAAAAGTATTGTGAAATGACGCGTTTCCAAATGTTATGCAACTAAAACGTAACCTTTTGCCTCTCGCGATAAGACGTGGCAACGGATTTTGGTGGGATTTTGGCTATATTTATTCAAAGGAGGCATATGCGTGTATCTTTACAGAATAAACACAAGCATTGACTAGAGTGGCCGCAATCAGCTTCAGTGGCCGTATCAGAGCCACACTGCACCGCAGGTGTGTGCAATGTACAGTGGGTACGGAAAGTATTCAGACCCCCTTAAATGTTTCACTCTGTTATATTGCAGCCATTTGCTAAAATCATTTAAGTAAATTTTTTTTCCTCATTAATGTACACACAGCACCCCATATTGACAGAAAAACACAGAATTGTTGACATTTTTGCAGATTTATTAAAAAAGAAAAACTGAAATATCACATGGTCCTAAGTATTCAGACCCTTTGCTGTGACACTCATATATTAACTCAGGTGCTGTCCATTTCTTCTGATCTCTGGACACCGGCCCTCCAGGACCGAGTTTGGACACCCCTGGTCTAAGCATTAATGGTAGGGAAAGCCCCTTATACTTGAGAGTAGCCACATATGAAGTGTTTCTTGGATGTTATAGTACATTGAAGAATGATCATATGACTTTTTACATACGCCTTGTGACCTGTAAATGCGAAAAAAACGTTTCCATTGCAGCTTCACGAATTATTCCTTTTGCGCATTGCCTGAAAAACCACCTCATGCAAGCGTA